CATTCAGCAGCTTCTTGTTTAAATTTTCCTGTTCCACCTTAAATGGAGCAGCAGTCACATTCTGGCACCATGGAACGGGAAAATTGGAACAAGAAGCTGGCGAATGAGAAGCGAATTCAGCATCGTAAAAAAGTTGAACGTTGAGAGACATTTTACAAGAAACTGTTCTACTTTTGTGGGAAAGTTTCCTGCTGGAGATGTGAGAAAAGCAGCTATAGCTGAGCTGAAGATTAAAGCAGAGCAAAGTAAGTCTGTGTTTTTGTTTATATTATATTTTTAGCCTATACAGCACATCAGCACACACTGAGACACATTTACAGCCAAGATGGTAAAATGGATATAAAGTGTTGTGGCTCCCAAGGTGGTTTGATTTTTGCTCTTCTATACATTTGGGTTGCGACCTCCTGGTCTAGCCAATCACCTGACATGAATCCCCCAAAAATTGGGGATCTTCCATCTGAGGGACCTTCATAACCTCAGGGAACGAGAGGAACGAACCAAAACTGAACCACAATGCTGCTTAAAGCTCATTGGTTCTTACTGTAGACGTCTCAAAGCTGTAATTTCAGCAGCAGCTTTGCAGTAGTTTTTAATATGTGGTGTCTGAATATTTTTCCCCTTTTAAATTTTTTTAAACATATCTTTGTTTATGCTTATGAATGCGCACCCTTTGTTCATGTTTGTAAGTACACAATCAGAAGACGTCGTGTGTGAGAGTGAAGTGGATCTCTTCACTGGAAGTTTATTAAATAACAAGCAGAAGTGTCTGAATTCTCTCTCTTTGTCTGAGGCTGGAGGCTCCATGACTTTCCTTCAGAGCTTTGGCTCAGTCGAAGCGTCTAAGCAGCATCGCTGTCGCGTTCTTTATTCTTTAGATTGTCTTTAGGCTCTCAGATCGTCTCTGGTCCTTTCAGAGCAGACGCTGTGCAGCCGTACAACAGCGCATGGCTTCAGACTGTAACGTCAGCTCCTTTTATCTGCAGCCGCTCTCCACTGAAGCCTGTCATCTGCGTTATTGTGTTCTTTTTATTGTAGGTGTCTTTCATCGTAACCCTGCTGCTCTGCTGGAGGCTCTTCATCACATCACAGACCTACATAGAGTCTGAAAAAGCTCTCGTACACACGGGGAACGCGCTTGTGTTCATGTCTGAGCTCCCGTTACAGTTAATGAACGGCTGTGTGTTTACTTCTGATAACTGGACCAAAAAGTACTTTATCACTGACATGTTCAGACAGTCTCAGCAACCTGCCTGGGGTTGCCAAGTTGGGCAGGATCCCCAGGTTTAGCATTTTGAGCCACTTGGTATGGCATTAGACAAAAGATCATTGTATTTTAATTACTTAAAAATGAATAGATTCTAGAAATTATCCAAAAAAGCTCATTAATGATATTATTATAATTATTATTATAATAATAGAAAGAATAAGATTAGGAATAATAAAGCTCTTTACTCAGTGGATCACACCTTTTCTTGTTCTTATATAATATTTGAATATTCGAGATAATATGGATGTTGCATGTTTACTTTGTGGGTGATGTCAGTGGAGTTAATAGGCTAAAAATGTATAATATAAATTAATAACATGAGAAATGCAGCAGCACACAGGAAATACAACAAACACATTTTATTCAAACACAGTAGCAGTAAAGTGTAACATTATACACACTCACAAACACAAAGCTGTCACAATTGAAAATTATCCTGTTAAAATCATGTTTTGTTAAATTGTTTTCTATATATTTTATGTATCAATATATATTTATGATATACATTGTCCCATATTAAAATGTAAAGAATACCCAAATGATGATTTCAGTCTGATTTTAAGGTTTTTTTTTTGTTTGTTTTTTTTTTATATTTTTTTACAAAATGAGGATAAGGTGGGCGTGGCCTTTATTCTCACTGTCACTAATATTGGCACAAATGTTTACATATGTGATTCTGATTAGGCTGTAATATGAGAACGTGATGGTTGTGTCTCTGCAGAAAGAAGCGTGGCCGGAGCATAAGAGCGAATGTCCGTGTCTGAAGCGCGTCCACCCCCGCATCCCCACCGACTCCGTCCGGCTCACCGCCAGGATCATCTTCAGGCTGGTGAGTTTCCATCTGAAGCACTGACCTGCACTTCCACACTAAAGCCTAACCCCCCTGAGCCCCTGCAGGAGGGTCTGAAATGCTCACGCTGCTGTTCTCTCTCTGCAGCTGAGTGATCCGGCGGCGGACGCCGAGGAGCTGTACTCCGTAGCTGAGCACCAGCCACGTAAGACAACATCCTGTTTACCTTCTGAACAAGGACATAGTTACGGTTTCAGAAGTGGGGGGTGTTTAAGCTGGAGCCTCTTACAAAACACACCTAAATGTGTATATACATACACAAATACAAACAAGCCTGTGTGTGTGTGTGTGTGTGTGTGTGTGTGTGTGTGTGTGTACATATATATATTCATATAGCGTAACCATGGAATTGAGGTCACGAGAAAAGCGTTCAGCCAGTAGTGCTGCAGGTCTTCTCACAACTCATTACTCATTCTGAACCATAGAAATGGGTTGTAGCATAACCACGGAAATGGGTGTAGTGTAACTATGGAAATGGGTGTAGTGTAACTATGGAAATGGGTGTAGTGTAACTATGGAAATGGGTGTAGTGTAACCATGGAAATGGGTGTAGCGTAACCATGGAAATGGGTGTAGTGTAACCATGGAAATGGGTGTAGTGTAACTATGGAAATGGGTGTAGTGTAACTATGGAAATGGGTGTAGTGTAACCACAGAAATGGGTGTAGTGTAACTATGGAAATGGGTGTAGTGTAACTATGGAAATGGGTGTAGTGTAACCACAGAAATGGGTGTAGTGTAACTATGGAAATGGGTGTAGTGTAACTATGGAAATGGGTGTAGTGTAACCACGGAAATGGGTGTAGCGTAACCATGGAAATGGGTGTAGTGTAACCATGGAAATGGGTGCAGTGTAACCATGGAAATGGGTGTAGCGTAACCATGGAAATGGGTGTAGCGTAACCATGGAAATGGGTGTAGCGTAACCATGGAAATGGGTGTAGTGTAACCATGGAAATGGGTGTAGTGTAACCATGGAAATGGGTGCAGCGTAACCATGGAAATGGGTGCAGCGTAACCATGGAAATGGGTGTAGTGTAACCATGGAAATGGGTGTAGTGTAACCATGGAAATGGGTGTAGCGTAACCACAGAAATGGGTGTAGCGTAACTATGGAAATGGGTGTAGTGTAACTATGGAAATGGGTGTAGCATAACCACAGAAATGGGTGTAGTGTAACTATGGAAATGGGTGTAGTGTAACTATGGAAATGGGTGTAGTGTAACCATGGAAATGGGTGTAGTGTAACTATGGAAATGGGTGTAGTGTAACCACGGAAATGGGTGTAGCGTAACCACAGAAATGGGTGTAGTGTAACTATGGAAATGGGTGCAGTGTAACCATGGAAATGGGTGTAGTGTAACCATGGAAATGGGTGTAGTGTAACCATGGAAATGGGTGTAGCGTAACCACGGAAATGGGTGTAGTGTAACTATGGAAATGGGTGTAGTGTAACTATGGAAATGGGTGTAGCATAACCACAGAAATGGGTGTAGTGTAACTATGGAAATGGGTGTAGTGTAACTATGGAAATGGGTGTAGCGTAACCACAGAAATGGGTGTAGTGTAACTATGGAAATGGGTGTAGTGTAACTATGGAAATGGGTGTAGCATAACCACAGAAATGGGTGTAGTGTAACTATGGAAATGGGTGTAGTGTAACTATGGAAATGGGTGTAGCGTAACCATGGAAATGGGTGTAGTGTAACCATGGAAATGGGTGTAGTGTAACCATGGAAATGGGTGCAGTGTAACCATGGAAATGGGTGTAGTGTAACCATGGAAATGGGTTTAGCGTAACCACTGAAATGGGTGTAGTGTAACCATGGAAATTTGGATTTAGAGTAATTTGGGAAACAGATTTAGTGTAACCATGGAAATGATTGTATCATAACCTTGGAAATTATTTGTATCATAACCATGGAAATGGGTGTAGTGTAACTATGGAAATAGGTCTAATGTAACTATGCAAATGGGTGTAGTGTAACCACAGAAATCTCTGTAGCGTAACCATGGAAATGGGTGTAGCGTAACCATGGAAATGGGTGTAGCGTAACCATGGAAATGGGTGTAGTGTAACCACAGAAATCTCTGTAGCGTAACCATGGAAATGGGTGTAGTGTAACCATGGAAATGGGTGTAGTGTAACCACAGAAATCTCTGTAGCGTAACCATGGAAATGGGTGTAGTGTAACCATGGAAATGGGTTTAGCGTAACCACTGAAATGGGTGTAATGTAACCATGGAAATTTGGATTTAGAGTAATTTGGGAAACAGATTTAGTGTAACCATGGAAATGATTGTATCATAACCTTGGAAATTATTTGTATCATAACCATGGAAATGGGTGTAGTGTAACTATGGAAATAGGTCTAATGTAACTATGCAAATGGGTGTAGTGTAACCACAGAAATCTCTGTAGCGTAACCATGGAAATGGGTGTAGCGTAACCATGGAAATGGGTGTAGCGTAACCATGGAAATGGGTGTAGTGTAACCACAGAAATCTCTGTAGCGTAACCATGGAAATGGGTGTAGTGTAACCATGGAAATGGGTGTAGTGTAACCATGGAAATGGATGCAGTGTAACTATGGAAATAGGTCTAATGTAACTATGCAAATGGGTGTAGTGTAACCACAGAAATCTCTGTAGCGTAACCATGGAAATGGGTGTAGCGTAACCATGGAAATGGGTGTAGTGTAACCATGGAAATGGGTTTAGCGTAACCACGGAAATGGGTGTAGTGTAACCATGGAAATGGGTGTAGTGTAACCATGGAAATGGGTGTAGCGTAACCACGGAAATGGGTGTGGCGTAACCATGGAAATGGGTTTAGCGTAACCACGGAAATGGGTGTAGTGTAACCATGGAAATGGGTGTAGTGTAACCATGGAAATGGGTGTAGCGTAACCACGGAAATGGGTGTAGCGTAACCACAGAAATGGGTGTGGCGTAACCACGGAAATGGGTGTAGCGTAACCACGGAAATGGGTGTAGCGTAACCACGGAAATGGGTGTAGCGTAACCATGGAAATGAGTGTAGCGTAACCATGCAAATGGGTGTGGTGTAACCATGGAAATGGGTTTAGCGTAACCATGGAAATGGGTGTAGCGTAACCATGGAAATGAGTGTAGCGTAACCATGGAAATGAGTGTAGCGTAACCATGCAAATGGGTGTGGTGTAACCATGGAAATGGGTTTAGCGTAACCATGGAAATGGGTGTAGTGTAAACATGGAAATAGGTGTAGCGTAACCACTGAAATGGGTGTATTGTAACCATGGAAATGGGTTTAGTGTAACCATGGAAATGATTGTATCGTAACCATGGAAATGGGTGTAGTGTAACCATGCAACCCATGTTATAATTCTAACAGTTCTGGACTCTGGGAGCCGAGCTGTAACACTGGACGGACTGTTGACAGATTTCCACACAAACTCCAGATCACTTTGCCCCCCAGCACTTTTGGACGTGCGGTTTTTGTTCCCGACCTCTGTAGAATTGTTGGTAATGTTGTAAACGGCGGTGCTGGAACACACGTTACGAAGCAGCTCGTCATCTCGACGCTGAAGCCTTTGGTGTTTTGAGTCTGAGTGTGAGGCGCTGTGAGGGTCAGAGCGCCGTGCTGTAAATGATTTGCAGCTTTAGAGCTGCAGAGATTTATTCTCCACAGATGAAAGGTTGGATTTAACGTGATGAACAGCGGCAGGGCTGTCAGAGCCGGGTGAGAATTTATTGTAACGTTATGACTTATTTTTTTCTGTTGCTGCATTTCTGGCTGCTGACCACGTTTTAAAGCCAGCCTGAGGGCCATGACTCTTCACCAGTAATTGGCTATTTTGTCACAAAAAAGCTGCAGTTTTCACCCGAGCCTAGAACCTGCTCAGCTAGAGGGACGACGGCAATCACACAGACGGGCTTCGTAAAAGCATTAAAGCGATAGTTCAACGAGAAAATCAGGTTGAGAGTGGACCACCACCCAAAAATACCCAGCCGAGAGAGGCTGTGTGGTCAGAAACTGACCGTTGATGAAGGGTTAGAGAAGGTCTGTGTGCTTTTTTGAGGTTCGGCTGCTCATTAGCGTAATCTAATTTATTCATATTCATTTTAATTTCCAGTGTCACTCATTCAATAGGATTTTTATGCAAATGACGTGCTCTCTAATTGAAAACGTCCCATGATGCCCTTACTCTGTGCCTGTGCTGCTGTAGGTTAATGAAATTTCCTTGTGGTTAATGAGGTTAAAGTCACAGTTTAGGTTAAAGGTTTGAGTAGCTACACTGATACACACAGTGATGGTCAAAAGTTTGGGCGCACCCGCTCATAGAAGGGTTTTTCTTTATTTTTATCTTTACGCCGATTTTCCAGCGTTTTCACTCTTATTCAGTTCAGAGGGCACATCTGATAAATATACTAGGGCTGGCAAACGACTAAAATAACTAACCATGACGAATCACATAATAAATCACACAAAATAACAATGAACTTCGCTCTTTTGCTTAAATTTGTCCCCAAACAAATATTTGTTTCCATTTCTAAAGCAGTGCAGTGGGTTAACTCTGTATAAACAGACCCAATGAGCTTCATTACTATATTCATATATATTCATTACTTTTATTACTCTTTATTGACGTCCAGCGAGAGCAACAGTGTCTGCACGTTCCAACCACTGAGTGTATCATATATGTCATGTGTGTCAACCTACAGCAGTTTAGCCCCGCCCATTCAGCGTACAGCAGTTTAGCCCCGCCCTTTCAGCCTACAGCAGTTTAGCTCCGCCCATTTAGCCTAAAGCAGTTTAGCCCTACCCATTCAGTCTACAGCCGTTTAGCCTCTCCCATTCAGTCTACAGCCGTTTAGCCTCTCCCATTCAGCCTACAGCCGTTTAGCCTCTCCCATTCAGCCTACAGCAGTTTAGCTCCGCCCATTCAGCCTACAGCAGTTTAGCCCCACCCATTCTAGGTGTTTTAGAGAGGTTGGAAAATAATGATTATTATGACTCTTAGATACTTTTTGTACATAAACCCACACAAACATCAATAGTGGACATAAAGGGAACTGCTTTTTTAATGAGGTGCAACAGAGGGCAGCCAGTCAGAATAGAGCTCATTTACATATATCAGTCTTATAGTCACAGTAACAGAAACAGCCTGTTTAGTTATAGGGGATGGAGAGCGGTTGGGTGAGTAAGTCACTGTTTTCGGTAATAAAGCCACTCAGACGTTACAGGTGGAGTGTTGTGTGTGCAGATCTGGAGGATAAGAGTGATGAGCAGAGAGAGGGGTTAGCTCACCTGTGCAGTACGCTGATGCTCTACCTGGGCCAGGAGAACGCTGACCCATCCCTGCCAAACGGACTGACCCCGATCGGCCTGCTCGCACGGGTGAGTCCAAGTCTAATACGTTTTCTGTCTGATCCAGGAGGAAATACAGCTCAACACTGATTGGTTATTACTGCTACTGAGTGCTGATTGATTATTACTGCTACTGAGTGCTGATTGGTTATTACTGCTACTGAGTGCTGATTGATTATTACTGCTACTGAGTGCTGATTGATTATTACTGCTACTGAGTGCTGATTGGTTATTACTGCTACTGAGTGCTGATTGATTATTACTGCTACTGAGTGCTGATTGGTTATTACTGCTACTGAGTGCTGATTGGTTATTACTGCTACTGAGTGCTGATTGATTATTACTGCTACTGAGTGCTGATTGATTATTACTGCTACTGAGTGCTGATTGGTTATTACTGCTACTGAGTGCTGATTGATTATTACTGCTATTGAGTGCTGATTGATTATTACTGCTACTGAGTGCTGATTGGTTATTACTGCTACTGAGTGCTGATTGATTATTACTGCTATTGAGTGCTGATTGATTATTACTGCTACTGAGTGCTGATTGATTATTACTGCTACTGAGTGCTGATTGATTATTACTGCTACTGAGTGCTGATTGGTTATTACTGCTACTGAGTGCTAATTGATTATTACTGCTATTGAGTGCTGATTGATTATTACTGCTACCGAGTGCTAATTGATTATTACTGCTATTGAGTGCTGATTGATTATTACTGCTACTGAGTGCTGATTGGTTATTACTGCTACTGAGTACTGATTGATTATTACTGCTACTGAGTGCTGATTGGTTGGCATTACTGCTACTGAGAGCTGATTGATTATTATTGCTACTGAGTGCTGATTGATTATTACTGCTACTGAGTGCTGATTGATTATTACTGCTACTGAGTGCTGATTGTTTGGCATTACTGCTACTGACTGCTGATTGTTTGGCATTACTGCTACTGAGTGCTGATTGATTATTACTGCTACCGAGTGCTGATTGGTTGGCATTATTGCTAATGAGTAACGCCAAGCTGATCAGCTTATTGGCTGCGTAAAGCACTGTTAACACTAACAGCACTGTTATAAAGTTCTATAAATGGAGTTCAGACATTTTATAAACATGATAAAATTTATTATGCTTTAGTTTTCGTTCTAGAATGAAATTTGACAGCCTTTTAAAAAGTTTAGTTTTGCAAATGTCTATGTTCCCTATATGTCTATGTTCCCTATATGTGTATGTTTTTACTCTCAGGCTCTTATTCTGTAGATGTGTTGCAGGTTTGTGTGTGTGAGGTGGTTTAGCTCTGTTTAACGGGGTATATTTCTCGTTTATGTTGAGCGCGTCGCTCCTCGGAGCGGTGCAGGTGTTTTGGAGTGTGTGGGGTTTATTTACAGATGTGTCAGGCTTGTTTTCTCTCAGACTGACTTTTATTTGCTCGTTTTTCTTACCGTCTCGCTGCGCTGTAATTACAAACACACTGCTCTGTGCAGGAGAGTTTTGGGTTTTGAGGGGGGAATACAACAGACCCAGCATGTAAACTCACGCAGGGCAGCACATCTGGCCCGGGACAAACAAGAGAACCACTGTAGGGCGTTTTCTGGAGCACCTGTTTGAAATCAGGGAGAGCTGACGGCCGTCTCTGTTCTTTTGGAAAGCTTGAAAGACCCAAATCTGGTTTGGATGAGTGTCGCTAATCTAATAACAAACAGTGAGACGGGCTCGGACGCTCGGCGAGAGAGAGAGCTGAGAGCAGATGGTGTGGGAGATATCCAGTACAGTGAGCCTCGGCGCTGACTGGATTACTGGGCCGATAGATTCAGTGTAGCTGTTGCATTTTAAAGCGATAGTTTGTTTTACAAAAACCAACACATTTGCATGTATCCAGCAAATCAGCCTACAGCAGTTTAGCCCCATCCATTCAAGCTGAAGTTATAAGGTAAGGAGTGTTTCAGCTTAGACAGCTTTATAAACGAGGCAGCCAATCAGAACAGAGCTCATTTACATATATCAGTCTTAAAGGCTTGGTAACAACAACCTATTTAGTGATAAGAGATTGGAAAATGATGCTTAGCGTTAAGTTGGTGGTAATCTTTCTCTTTTAAACTTCTTCTAATGTGAACACAGAGAGACCGAACACTACCCTATATGGACAAAAGTATTGGGACACCTACAGGAGCTTTTATGAATCCCATTCTAAATCCACAGGCATTAATATGGAGCTGGTCCCCCGTTGCAGCTCTAACAGCTTCCACTCTTCTGGGAAGATCAACAAGATGTTGGAGAGTCTGTGGGAATTTCTGTCCATTCATCCAGAAGAGCATTTGTGAGGTCAGACACTGATGTTGGACGAGAGGTTCTGGCTCACAATCTCTGTTCTAGTTCATACCAAAGGTGTGTGATGGGGTTGAGGTCAGGGCTCTGTGAGGGCCAGTCAAGTTCTTCCACACCAAACTCACCCAGTCAGGCCTTTATGGAGCTGCTTTGTCCACTTGGGCTCAGTCTTGTTCTGCTGAAGCGTTAAGATTCCCCTACACTGGAACTAAGGGTTCTAGACCAACCCCTGAAAAACAGCCCCATATCATCATCCCTCCTCCACCAAACTCTACAGCTGGCACAGTGCAGTCAGGCAGGTAACGTTCTCCTGGAATTCACCAAACCCAGACTCGTCCATCAGACTGACCGATAGAGAAGCTGATTGGTCACTCCACAGAATACGGTTCCACTGCTGCAAAGTGACAATGAGGTTGAATGAAACACCTGAATTCAATGATTGAGATGATACGGACTTTTGTCCATATAGTGTATGTGGGTGGGGCAAACCAAGTCAGCCTGATTGGTGCTGATACTGCTTAGGCGTGCATGGTCCCAGATTAGGGCCGCCCATTTTACATCATAAAGGGAGAATTTTGGTTAAATATGTTGGTCATTTAGAGGACATTGGAAAGTTATTCGCAGAGTATCTGAATGATCTGACTGAAGTTTGTCGCTTGGCTTTGTGGTCAGTGTGTTTGATCAGCACACAGCTGTACTGCAGTGTTATTAGTTATCAGGTCCTGCTGGGGGGGCAAGGAGTGTGGGGGGGGTACAGATGTTCAGCGTTCTCTGCATGTCTCATTAATGGGAGACAGAGCATGTACAGCCCGCCCGGCGCTGAGGATCTCCTCCTCTACTGACTCTCCATAAACATTCCTTCACTGCAGGATGGAGCTTCAGATCTCAGAGCTCTGTGTTTGTTTATTCGTCAGTTTGTTTGTTTGTCATTGTGTCAGTTGTCATCATTCACGAGCGGAGCAGAGATGTGAGAGGAATGAGAGGAAATGGAGTGATGGATTGAGTTGTAATGAGGAGGTAAAGAAACATCACTCACTGTCAGACCGACAGTCTGAGAGAGGAGACGCTTACAGACCGTGTACTACAGCAGTGAGGCAGGGTCTCTCTCTCTCCCTCTCTCTCTCTCTCTCTCTGTCTCTCTGTCTCTCTCTCTCTGTCTCTACCTCTACCTCTCTCTCTCTCTCTCTGTCTCTCTCTCTCTCTGTCTCTCTCTCTCTGTTTCTACCTCTCTATCTCTCTCTCTCTCTCCCTCTCTCTCTCTGTCTCTCTGTCTCTCTCTCTCTGTCTCTACCTCTACCTCTCTCTCTCTCTCTCTGTCTCTCTCTCTCTCTGTCTCTCTCTCTGTTTCTACCTCTCTATCTCTCTCTCTCTCTCTCTCTCTCTCTCTCTCTCTCTCTGTCTCTACCTCTCTATCTCTACCTCTCTACCTCTATCTCTACCTCTCTCTCTCTCTCTCTCTCTCTCTCTCTCTCTCTCTCTCAGTGGAGAAAAATCTGTTTGGCTGTTCTGAACACTCAGAGCTGAGCAGCTCAAAAAGGTTCCTCTTTTATTTGTAATTAGTCAGGTCTGAAGTGTTTCTCATGTTCTCTCTTTCTTCTTTTTTATCTATTTGTCAGTCAGGCGTGTCAACTCGCCCCCTTAAGAAGCGCGTCCTGCTTCTGTTTTAGACACGAGCTTTACATTTATAACCTACAGCACGTCTGTCACTCACGTCTGTCTGGCGTCCGTCACGCTGAAACTCGGCAGGTCTGGAATCACTGTGTCTTCGTTCAGGAGCTGCTGGGTCTGTTTACTTCATTTAATGACAGTAAATAAACGAACTGTGCTGTTTTTAAGTGACTGGTTTATGTAAAATGAACAAAAATGGATTAAACTAGATTTTAAGTAGAGGAGGAAAGTGTGTTTGGTTTGACGGAGCAGCTAATAACACTCCAGCCGTTAAAGCAGTCGATTAACCCAATTAAGTAGAAACAGAGAGCTTATATTGTGTGGCTCCGATTTGCTGTGGTGTTCCAGCTTGTTGTTAGGGCGCTGACTGGTGGTTGTTGGGTCATTACTAAGCTATTGCTATGCCATCCCTGGAGGTTGCTAGGGTGTTGCTAGGCTGGTGCTATGCTATCCTAGGTAGTTGCTAAGGTGTTGCTCTGCCATCCCTTGAGGTTGCTAACCCTAGGCCATTGCTGTGGTATCCCATGTGGTTGCTAAGGTGTTGGTAGACCGTTGCTATGCCATCCCTGGAGGTTACTAGTGTGTTGCTAGGCTGGTGCTGTGCTGTCCTAGGTGGTTGCTAAGGTTTTGCTAGGCCGTTGCTCTGCCATCCCTTGAGGTTGCTAACCCTAGGCCATTGCTATTCCATCCCTGGCGGTTGCTAAAAGGTGTTGGTAGGCCATTGCTATGCTATCCCTGGTGTTGCTAGGGTGTTGCTATTTCATCCCTGGGGGTTGCTAGGGGGTGTTGCTAGGCTGGTGCTGTGCTATCCCATGTGGTTGCTAAGGTTTTTGTAGGCCATTGCTATGCTATCCCTTGAGGTTGCTAACCCTAGGCCATTGCTGTGCTGTCCTAGGTGGTTGCTAAGGTGTTGGTAGGCCATTGCTATGCTATCCCTGGTGTTGCTAGGCTGTTGCTATTCCATCCCTGGCGGTTGCTAGGGGGTGTTGCTAGGCTGGTGCTAGGCTGGTGCTGTGCTGTCCTAGGTGGTTGCTAAG